AGACTTTATCCTCCTTATTCATAGGCAAACAATATACAATAAAATATCTACTATGCATAACATAAGGTTCATATATTCTCACCTGAAAGTTCATGTCATTCCAATTTATCATTAGGCTAGGCTAAGCTTAACAAAAGGAATGCTCAAGTTAGGTAAATATGATACAACATAATATACACTATGCACAACACAAAGTTCCTATATTCTCACCTAAAAGTCATGTGATTTTAATTTATCATTAAGCTAGGCTTAACATAATGCAAAACTCAACGTTCAACAAAAACAACTCAAAGTTTATTTTTACACAACAAATACTCCAACATTTCTAACAAAAAATTTTCTTTATATTGGATCATATTTTATTCAGTTCACATGTAAAAGTCCAATATAAACAAGTTAACCATTATTCTTATACAATAATTAATCCATTTTAAAACTTTTGTGGCCAAAATGGTTCATCAACCTTTACCTTATATCAACAGTAGAATCACAAATAAAATTCCAATCTCAACAACATCACATTGCAGTTTGTACAATAAAAAATTCATCTCATATGCACCCTACTACCTCATGTAAAACCCTATTAAATTCTTTCATTAAATGAGTTACTACATATTGAATGAGTGAAGATCACCTCTGTTGCCACTTCATCAACAACTGACATGCAGCAAAGACAAACTTTAAATTATTTCTACAGCAAAAATGGATGCTGCTTATTTTTTCAATAACAACAATAAAAATCTCAGCTCATTTCTACAATAAGAACGTGAGAAACCTAAAAAATCTCTAGTTAAGATCTTGAAATCACCAAAAACACTGCTAAATATGGAGGAATTTTGAAATCTACGCACCTCGAAAGTTACTCCTCCCCAATACAGCTCAGAAACCTTCCCATCCTCCAGCTGAATACCCATTCTTGTGTTTGTCATCCTCCTTCTACGTTTAATTTCATTTCTTTCTATTAAGGGCAAAATAGTATTTTTGATCTGAAAAAATATTGCAATTCGGGCCCCAAGGCCTGCAGAGCAATTTTAAAACGATTTAGGCCTTATGTGCAATAAACTCTATTTTTGGAGCCCTTAATGCCATTTCCTCTTTATTTTATGTGAAGTTCAACATGCATTACCTAATATATTTAAGCCCAACAAAGCATAGTCTTGGACTAGGCAGGCTTTAAAAAGGAAGATCAAGGCACATGCACAAATGGAGGTAACCAAACTACATGGCCTAGATCATCAAAAAATTAAATAATGTTACTTTGATCTATTAGATAAAAATTTTCACCAAATAGATCAACAGCTTATACCTAAAGACTGGTAGTGAAGCGTGAAAAATATGAACACATTCAATACGAAAAACTAAAAAAATTACTAATACTTGTGAAACAAAAATTTGCACACTTGAATAAAAATGCAATAAAAAATTTAAAGGGACATTTGTAGTAATTGTAAATATATGAAATGGATTCTTCAAAAGGTTCATGGAAGGCTTATAATAACATGTATTTTAAGATAAAACAAGATGCACTAGTGAATGGAAATAATGAACATTTTTTGAAGAGAAAATAAAAAAATTACTTATACTTGTAAATGAATGCGACAAGTTTGACAAAAATTACTTGTGAAAAAATTAACAACAACAACAACAAACATTTATCCCACTAGGTGGAGTCAGCTATATGGATTGCAAGATGCCATTGTGCTCTATTATTTACAAAGTTTTTAGAAATATTACTAATTAAGAGATCGCGTAAAACAACTTTTAAAAGTGTTCTTTTAGACTTTCCTCTACCCCTCTTAATAGGGCTCAAAGTTATATGTTTCACTTTTCTCACTGATGCCTCCCGCAGTCTTCTTTATATATACTCAAACCATCTTAAACAATTTTTTATCATTTTTTTCTCAATAGGTGCTGCTCCTATTTTTTCGCGTATGTGTTCATTTTGAATTTTATCTTTACGTGTATGTCCGCACATCTATCATAACATTCTCATCTCTGTTACTTCAACTTTATACTCTTATTGTCTCGTTAGAGCCTAGTATTTACTACCATATAATATAGCCAGTCTGATAGCAGTACGATAAAATTTTTCTTTAAATTTATTAGGCACTTTACGGTCACAAATAACTCATTTAGCTTTTTTCCAATTAAACCACCTAGCTTGAATCCTATGTAAAATATTCCCATTAATTTCGCCATCATTTTGAATAATGACTCCCACATATTTAAACTTTTTCACTTAAAGTATAATTTAATCTCTCAATTTCACTTCTAAATTACTGTCAACTAGTCTTTTACCAAATTTACAATATAAATATTCCGCCTTACTCCTACTCAGACGGAAACTTTTCAACTCCAATGTCCTCCTCCATAACTCAAGTTTACAATTAATCTCTTCTCTTATCTGTGCTATAAAAACTATATCATCAGCAAAGAGCATATATTTGAGAATTTTCCCTTGAATATGTTTCGTTAAAACATTTGGGATCAAGTTAATTAGATAAGGACTCAAAAATAATCCCTGATGTAGTCCAATCTTTATAGGAAAGTCCTTTATTTGACCACTAGACATTCTTATACTAGTTTTTACCCCTTCATACATATCTTGTGTAACTTTAATATAAGCAATTCATACTCTCTTCTTTATCAAAGCTTTCCAAAGCACTTCTTTTGTTATACGGTCATAAGCTATTTCCAAATTAATAAAAACTATGTATAAATCTTTATCTTTGCAACAATACTTTTTTATTAATTCCATTAGTAGATAAATTGCCTCTATAGTCGATCTACCTGACATTAAACCAAACTAATTCTCAGACTTGTGATAAAATTAAAAACATAAAAGAGGTAATGGGAAAAGGTATAATGAAATGGTATAAATAGTACCCTTCATAAGAATATAAACATGCCTATATATGTATAAACAATAAAAGGAGACTAAATAAAAGATTAAAGACATGCATGCACCAATATTGGAATATAAATACTTTTGATTTGCTGCATGAAATACAGAAAATAGATTAACAAACACATTTGTTTAAAATACAGTTACATAGAGTATAGTATGAAGAAGGACCATAATGATTCAACATCTTTAAAATTAAAGTGTAGGAAGTAAATAACATCAAATACATTCATGCGATGCTAACGTAAATAAAAAAAAGCACTGCATGAAGCCCTTCCACTGCATCTCATATCACGTTCACTTGAGAGCAAGGAACATTGTCTTGCACAAAAGCAATTTAAGAATGCACCTAGAGGAACTTTGGATCCCAAAAGACCTTAGTTGCACCTACGAAGTTAGCAAGTGAAGTAACGTTGTTTTTCGCGTACCATGAGTGCATACTGAATGCCTACTCTAATGCCAAGTTTTGGGTTCATGACTTGCAAAGACTCCCATGCATGGACGGCAGCATCACCGAGAAGCAGACACTCAATCTTATCAACCCTATAAAGCATGAACAGAATTGATAAATGAGTTACACAACAACCTCACAGTTTGATAACCATTGTATTTGACTAAAAGAAAAAGTATAAATTTAACTGATCATCTTCTAAAATAAATTGGAACTTCCAAGTCATTATGCTATTTTGCAGGGCCCACTTCCAAGACATGACTTGCTTGAATAACCCAACTACATCTGTCTATTTCCACAAATCTAAATGAATGAGTGAGTATATATCTATAGGATATAAATATGGAAAAGAACCATGAAACTTACCCCTCACACGTATTTCGGGCCACCACTCTCACTTAATCCGCCTAATAGGGACAACCTTAAACATATGGTCAGGCATAAGGCAAGGGAGCTCAACAATCTCAATCTCATTACGTGGGCTCTTAGTGAAACATGGGATGAATGCCTAGACCACCAGGGAGAATTGATAGATTCTTAATGTGGTAAGACTTATCCTCCTCTAAAAGGTTGCACAAACAATCTACGTGATCATTTCCAGAGATGGAAATGATTACTCGAGTCTATTGAAAATTAAAATGATAAGAGCAATCAAATAGAGGTCCATACATACGTAATACAAATAGATATGGAGAAGTTTAAACAAGAAAAAAATAGAGAATGAGAGAGAAAAGAGTTAGCAAACTCACGGCTGTGTCAAAAACTATTATCTCTAAGGAAACGACCTTCTTTGGATAGCTACAGAACTTGTCAAATACATGGAAGCCAGACCTTGGGTATGAACGATCAACCTTCACAAGGATATTGGCATCACTCATGGATAAGTGGAGGGAGGAAATGAACTTAAAATGCGACATAGTTGCACGCAGAAGTGCAAGGCGAAATATGATAAGGTGAGGGATGCAAGCGGCTAAACCACAAGTTGACAGTATATAAAGAGCATTAAGTTATTTAAGGCCTGTTTGGTTAGAGAGGAGAGAGAAAAAATTTTAAAAAACCTCCCCTGCACCTTACCAAATAAGGGGAGGGGAGCCCTTCACCTTCCCTTGTTTCCCCTCCCCTTTGAAACCTTCCCCACTAATTTGGGGGGGATGCCCCCCTTCCCTTGAATCAAAAAAAGCCTTAGGCATTGTTTGGTTGGGGCGAAAGGGAGGGGAGGAAAAATTTTAAAATTTTCCCTCTCCCTCTACTTTACCTCCCCTTTCTTTGTCCCATCCAAACAAGGAGAGGGGAGCCCCTCCCATGCCTTTGATTAGGTGGAAGAGAGGGAACATTTTTAAAATTTCCTCTCTCCTCTTTTCTAAAACCTCCTCCCTTTGAATTGGGGAGAGCCCCCCTCCCCTCCCCCTTTTTTTTTGCATAAAATAGAGTCTTATTGTAATTCATAAACAAACACAGCTTCGTGATGGGGCAACGACAAACAAATCTCAAGAAGTGATGATGTGCTAAGAAACAGACAAATACAAAGCCGTATTATATCACTAACCTTAAGCCTCACTTATTTGGTTTGACCCAAGCACGCAGCCCAATAAACAACTATTCTGATAAAAGAAGCCATATTTAAGCTGGCACTGTTCATAAAGCCTCTTTCAGAAGTTTGGCTTCGCAAATAGTACTTTTGTAGGCTGATGAGGGGATTCATTCGCTCACTTTCTTAGTTATATTAATTTCAGTTCATGCCCATATTCCTTCCGTGAAATTTCAAATTTATTTGGGTCTTATTGTAACAAAGTCACATCCGGGTTCTTCAATCAAATTATCCCTTCAATCTTTCGGTCCTTGAGGCCAATTTTCCATTAATAATTTCACGAGATCAGTTTCGGTGCCCCGTAACGTTGCAGCGCTCTGTGTCCCTATGTTCTGCTTTCGTTTTCAGGCACGATTGTGCCTCAACCTCTTACACTCATCGCAGAAGCCATCAACGAAGTCTCATTGTTCGCGGTTCAGTTGTATCCACTCAATCGCTTTAAGAGCTGAGATGAGGTATTTTTCCTTGATCCGTCAATGTCGTTCGGAAAACAGAGCTTGAGTGCTCCAACATTCGTGGGTTCCACTGTGAAATTTTCTTCATGTTCTGTGAATTGACTAATGAAGCTTTGATCTTGTGATTCGAGTGGATTTGCTACAATCGAGGGAGAAATTATTTATGGTCAAAATTTTGCTGAGTTTTTTTAACGACTGTGGAGTATCTGTCCGTTGGATTTGATTTCTTGTATTTGTATTTTATTCCATTGTTTTCTTTCCATGGATCATTAAAATCCCTTGGTTAATTTTGGAATTTGTATATTCAAATTAACAATTTAGATTTATGGACCTCTCTCATGGCAAGTGTTTTGCATTATTTTTGTCCGTCCATGTTTATCACCGTATATTCCTTTATCAAATAAACCTTGCTTGTGTAATATAACACAGCAACAGTAATTAACTGCTTGCATATCATAAATGTGCAGGGATCATTGAAGCCAAAATGCGTACTCTAATGCAAATCTATAAGTCTATGAGTGGTTATTGGGTTACTCAATCTTCTAAGGCGGCCTCTTAAAATTTTCGTTTGTAGTGAATCATTGTTTAATTGTATTAACCCATGAAATCAGGCTACCAGCCTGGTGGACGTGATAATGCTAGCACAAAGATCTTAGTGACATCACTGTCAGCAGTGGTAGCTGAGACAACAACTTTCCCTATAGATTTAATAAAGACCAGGCTTCAACTCCACGGTGAGTCACTTTCCTCAAGTCAACCTACCAATGCTTTTCGGGTAGCAGTGGGGATCATTCGTGAACAAGGTCCTCTTGGCCTTTATAAGGGCTTGTCTCCAGCAATTATCAGACACATGTTCTACACCCCTGTTCGAATTGTAGGGTATGAGAACCTGAGGAGTTTGATTTCTGCTGATAGTGGTTCACTCTCTCTGCTCAGCAAGGCTGCTGTTGGTGGGATCTCTGGTATTATGGCTCAGGTGAGTGCTACTTGGCTTGAGTATGTGCTGTGGCTCATCACAGAATCCTTGTTCTTCTGTCCTTTCTCAAAATGAACATTTGAAGTTTTTGGTGTGCCTTTTGTTAAGCTGAAAATATCAATTGCCCTTGTTTCATTGAATTATAGGAGCTCTAGCTGTAACTGTGAAGATGGGGAAAATGGAAATCATGGGAGAAAAAAAGACAGAAAGAGGAAAATTTGATAATTGTTGATTCTCTCACTGTGGACTGAAAAGTCTACAGCTAGTAGCTTAAAGGAAGCTCTATAATGACATATGCTCAAAATAAGAAAGGAAATAGCACTAAAGAAAATTCTCAAGAGTTAATGTGAGGTGTAATCTTTGCCCCAATTTTTGTGTCTGACTTTGGTTTTCCTTTCCTGATATCGGGAATATCATCGAAATTGAAAGGAAAAGATAGAAATGGAAGAGTTAGATGTCTTCTGTGCTTTGATAAGATATCTACTTCTTAGATAATCCTTTTTCTTCGCAGATGGATGCTATTAGTAGGAACTGAAAATGTAGGGTATGCGAACTTTAAGGGGAAAAAGGAAGTAACATCCACTTAGCATGCTCATATAATGCCATTTTAACGTGATAAATTTTCTGCTGACCGTGGTGATATTGGAGAAAATTATCAGAACATTTGGTTTAGCCACAAGGTTGTAATTAGCTGCTCAGCTGTCATAATATATTTGTTGGCAAATAATAGCATGCTATTATTTATTCTTAGTTATACAGATTATAGCAAGCCCAACCGATCTTGTGAAGGTGAGGATGCAATCCGATGGCCGATTGGTGAGCCAAGGTCTTAAACCTCGCTATTCAGGGCCTTTTGATGCTTTGACCAGGATTGTTCAAGCAGAAGGATTTCTGGGACTTTGGAAGGGTGTTTTTCCTAATATCCAAAGAGCCTTCTTGGTAAACATGGGAGAATTGGCGTGTTATGATCATGCTAAACAATTTGTGATAAGAAATAAGATAGCTGATGATAATGTTTATGCCCACACATTAGCTTCTATCATGTCAGGCCTCTGTGCAACTACTTTAAGCTGTCCAGCGGATGTAGTGAAGACTAGAATGATGAATCAGGCATTTAACAAGGAAGGTAAAGTCTTGTATAATAGCTCTTATGATTGCTTGGTAAAGACAGTTAAAATTGAAGGACCAAGGGCACTTTGGAAAGGATTTTTCCCCACTTGGGCTAGACTTGGCCCTTGGCAATTTGTTTTCTGGGTTTCTCATGAGAAGTTGAGAAAAGTTGCAGGGCTCTCTTCTTTCTGATTTGCGTCCATGGCCAACCCTCTTTCTTCTAATACAATCATTCAATGAGCCACTGAAAGTGTCACCAATGTTTCTCTGCTACGTTATGGATTCTGTTTTACAAACATGGACAAATGGTGAAAATTGATGATTGCATACAGATCCATACAGTACAGCTTTGCTGAATAATTATTTGTTCTCAAGATGGCACTCATGCAAAATGGGATAAAGTTCATCATGAGCGAAGCTTGCGTTAATAAGGATGAATACATTTTTTTCTTTCTAACTTTTGTATTATCTATTATTCTTCCTCCTAAAAGAAAAATTGGATGTTACAATGTCTGATGTATTATGACGCCATCGTTTCCTTGAAAGTTAATCCTGTTCCTCTGTGAAATTGTTTATTTATTTATTTATTTATTTGTATCAATCTGAAATCTATCATTCACAATGGAAAAATACAAAGAAATAACAAAAATACAACAAACTAACTTTCATCATTCACCCACTTTATACAAAAAAAGAGGGGAATGATCAAAGGTGTATATATATGTGTGTGTATAATTTATTAGGAAGATGTTAATGCCCTAAAAGTTTGTGCCAGGGATTTATTATCATCAGAACATTTGGTTGGTTAAGGATTGTATGGTGTTAGCAAACATTGTTGTGAAAATGGTACTGAATTGATCAAAAAGTAGTCAGAACTAATGGCAAAGTGTAGTTGGACTTCTTCATTCCAATTAAGAAGTTAAATTTTGCTGCTTTATGTTTTACAAGTTACGGACTTACGGCACCGTGGTTAATACCCTTGACCCTGCATGTAGTTCTGTCCTTCTTGAGATTCCTGTTTTGTGCTTAGTATATGCTTGCCTTGCAATTTCTGCTTCATGCTTTGTTTCATTGCTTCTTTGAAGGATAGACTTTAACTGCTGAGTAAAATTTCCCCCTTTGGTGTGTCTGGTTGTAGAAGAATGGAGAGGAGGGGAGGGAAAATTTTGATGAGTTCAATTTTTAAAATTGGAAAAGTGACGTTAAAAGCTTTTAATTAATTTTTTTTTATCTTACATTTTCCCTTTATTGAAATTTTATAACAGTGAGTTATCGTCCTATTGGTGATTTTCATACCTTTTCAGTCTTTGATTGATAATGGTATTTGCATACCTATTATTTCTCCCTTATAAAATAGGTTAAAGTTTGGAGAGAATTCACAATTTAGCTCAAAACTTGAATTAATAGCAATTAGGTTTTTAATAAAAACTTTTAAAAAGTGGGTTGAAATATTAATTCAAATAATTACAAATTTACTTTAGTAACCTTGTGAGTCTTTAATTATTATTAAAAAATAATAATTATATTCTTAAAATTATTAAAAAGCTAGGTAGTTTTTCAATTTACCTCTCTTTGTAATTAATAATTATAATAAAGTGTTATCTAAGAATTCAAATGATAATAATTAAACAAGAAAAAAATTGAAGAAAAACACATTAATTATTTTAACTATATCTTACATTTAGAACTGAAAAAAGGATGTCATTAACATCCCATAAAGAGTCTTATCAATACACACAGTAGGAAAATCCAAGTCTGGTAGCAAAGTACTCCAACATTCCCCACTCTTTGTATTTCCTATATAATAATCCAGAATATACCTTATATCCCTTCACATTGCAGATTAAGCCATTCCTGTTTTTTTTTTTTTTTTGGGGGGGAGGGGGTTAGTTAGATGAAGCCATTTCTAGTAATAGTATGTCACAAGTAATACAAAATTACAAACGAGAAAAATGACGCGTCCACCAATATTCAGTCCATATGCCGTGCACTGACTGATAATGAGAAACAATGTTTTTACAAGAATCTGAAATTTGTACAGTATAGCAAAATGACAAAATCCAAATTTATATTGGAAGCACAAAAACAACAGGAGAAAATAAACATGCCTGCTTGTTCTTGTTAAATATATCTTGAAGCCCAGGAAAAGAAGAAAAGAATCTCAATGATCCCTAAATATAAAGTTTTAATGCCTTCCCCTAAAACCAATGCTGAAGCTATGTTCTAAGCCCTTCTTACCAATTACAGGAACATTTCCTTTCTGCATCATGGCTACAAACTCATTATAATCTATCCTCCCATCCTGCATTGCAAAATAAAAAGTTAATAATAGCAACATGTGTCCATTTCAAGGTTGAGTGTGATGAATTTCAAACATGCAAATCCAATAAACATCAGCAGCAAGATGCCACCCATAAAAAAATGATAATTTTATGCAAAATTAAAGAAGGAAAAGATGCAATCTCATCAGTTTCCACAGAAATTCTAATAAGATTCCATCAAGCCAATGTTAGTTATTACTATTCCTATTAACATAGAGACAAGAAAGCCCTTGTATAAAATTTGCATCTTGACCGTAACAGGTGAAAGATTTAACTAAAAACAAGTCACTAGGAAACTATTTGGCTATTGGAAAGGATAAGAATGAAATGAATAAAAGAAATAAGACCAAAAATAAATTAAATTACCCTCCCATCTCATGGTAAACATGATAAAATCCAACAATATATCAAAAATGTGAGAATCATAACACCCTTTACAAACCCTATGAACTAAATTACCATTCGCCCATCATGAACATGATTCATTTATCTCCTTTCCACATCTGGATCATTCTATTTTTATCTTTATTTCTTAGATTCCTTCCATTCCCTTCCATTCTAGCAACCAAACAGCCCCTTAGTTATGCTCGTTCAAAACTAGTAGAGGAGGTTCTAAATGTAGAAAACTGAAAAGCGGAAACAACTGACGTTATTTTGATCGATTTCCTTGATTATCTCTTCCAAGCGGATATCTTCTACGCCAAACTCCACACAAGCTTGTTGAAGTTCATCTAGAGTAATATAGCCACTTCCATCCTTATCGAAGTAAGAAAAGGCAGCAACAAGGTGATCTTCTCTTTCAATCTTGTTTCGATGCAATGTTGCAGCTAAAAACTCCGCATAATCGATAGTTCCACTATTGTCAACATCAGCCTACAATTTAAATTAAAACAATATATGAAAAATTTTAACTAATAATATATACTTCTTTAATGATTTCATCAATATATATATATATATATATTCTATAGAAAGTTGAATATTTCATATCACCTCAGATTCCATGCAATTCAGTACCCACATCTAGTTTATTAAAGCGGAATAGAATTTCTCAGAGACAACGCAGTCCACAAACATCCCTGTCTGGTACAGACATGATTTGATTTTTCACTTAATTTCAAGCAACCATATGTATGGCTTGGCACGATAATTGTCTTTTTGAAGCCTAGTCCATGTTTTCGGAATCAAAGATATGAACACAGAAAAAAAATTATTTAATTCAGATTGGTGCTATTTAGAATAATTGTTAAAATTATTTAATTAACAATCATAAAAATTGTTGACTGAGACCTATTACTTAACTTTTCTAAACGCTTGGTAAATGATAGAGTATAATGATGTCATACAATCCACATAGCCTACCCCACATTGTTGTTGAAGAAATATTATAAACTGCCCTATAAATTGTAGTAGAGTTATTGCCAGAAAAGAAATATGGATATCAACCAGTGACAATTTCTAATCACGTACACGGTCAAATCACAATACTTGTTGAAATTTGAAGACTTACTTTAAAGGAAAAAAACAATCATCAGTCCTTACAGTTTTATCAAGTTTTACTTTTAGTCTCTATATTATTTTTCTAGTGTTTTTAATCCTTATAGTTTCAGCAAGATTGAGTGACATTTGTTTCTCAGGTCCCTATAATTTCAGTGTTTTTAGTTTCTAAAGGATCGAAAACATTAAATAAAAACTACAGGAGCTAAAAGCAAAATCTGATAAAATTATAAAGATTAATAATTGTGTTTTCCCTACTTTAAATTGTAAATATATGGCTCAATTAGGATTTTTCTCACAACTGCAATTCCCAAGATTTGAACACGCTAAAAGAAAATGAATAGAAAAGAGCTTAACAATATAGACATGATTTTGTTTAGGATTGCCCTCAACCTCTATCTATCACACCATAACCGTAAACTTATGCCTTTTAATTTGGCTATGCTGCTATTGACTCATAATTTGCAATGCCCTTGTCAGGCCTAATTTTTATTTTCATATAATTCTTCAACATGTCATTCTATCGAAGGATATGCAATTGTGAGGTAAAGGAAACTCTTAAGAAAATGAAAAATGGTAGAGTCAATGGACCTAATTGAAGTGTGAAAATATTTAGATGAAGAAGGGGTACGACGGTTCACTAAGCTATTTAATAAAATCTTACAGTCCAAGAAAATGCCTGATGATTGGAAGAGAAGCACTTTAGTTCCTATTTACAAAAATAAAGGAGATATTCTTAATTGCACTAACTACAAAAGGATTAAACTTATAAGTCATATAATAAAATTGTAGGAAAGAGTGATTGAACATAGATTGAGATTGAAAACTGTTACTTCTGAAAATCATTTTGGCTTCATGCTATGTAGAGCGAGTATAAAAGCGATTTATCTACTAGAAAGATTAATGAAAAAGTATTAATGCAAAGGTAAAGATTCACATACGGTTTTCATTGATTTGAAAAAAACTTATGATCATGTACCGAGAGAAGTACTTTGAAACCGAGTTGCTTATATTCGAGTTATACAAGATATGTATGAGGGAGAAACAACTAGTATAAGAATGTCTGGCGGCGAAATAGAAAACTTTCCTACAAAGATTGGATAGCATCAGGGATAATCTTTGAGTCCTTATTTGTTTGACTGGTTCTAGATGTTTTGGCTAAGTATATTCAAGAGAAAATCCTCAAATGCATGCTTTTCACGGATAATATAGTTCTTATTAAGAAAATAAGAGAAGAGATTAACTGTAAATTTGAGTTATGGAGAAGGACATTGGAGTCAACAAGTTTCCGCTTGAGTAGGAGTAAAACAAAATATTTATATTGTAATTTTGATAATAAATCAGTTGGCAGTAATTTAGAAGTGAAATTAGGTGATCATATTACACCTCAAGTGGAAAAATTTAGATATTTGGGAACTATATTACTTGCAAATGAATTATAATTTCTTTGTCTAAAAAAATGACAGATACTTACCGCTTGCATCAAATCATAAATTTCAGACTCCTTAAGATTAGCACCCACTCTTTTCAAACCAGCCTTAAGCTCATCAAATGTGATTTGACCACTATTGTCTGTATCTATCATCTTGAACATTTCTTTCAAACCCGCTATTTCTTCTTCAGATAAGCTCTCTGCAATAACCTGAAAAAGATGCAAATGATCATCAAATGAAAACGATCAAAATAAGAAATTTTAATTTTCCCTTAAAAAAGTCATCCAATGTAACACATTTACTCGAAGTACCTGCACTTTCATTTATGCAGCTAGATAATGCATCAGTGATGTAGAATGACAAAGGAGAATTATTGTGAATTTAATTATCTTATAATTCAATCATCCTTTTCACTTTATCATTTGTAATTTATTACATTGGGATAATTTTACGGCAGTTATCAGTTATGAGCTATCCACTTCGGTTGTTTGGGAAACCTCGCAGGCAGAGGGCTCTCTCAATTCATTCAATATTTTTACATATTTCAATACTATCAATTAATAATGAAAAAGGGACAATTATTTCAGTTATGCACTTTGGAGTTTGTGATACCTCGCAGGCAGAGAGCTCTCTGAATTTGTTCAATATATATTTTAATATTATTATCATTAACCAATAATAAAAAGGGTTGATAGAATAATAGCCACAGACTAAGATAACAGCAACTTAAATATAAAAACCTAATCAAAATGCTAAAATAGAAACCTCAGATAAAATAACATGAAACAACAATACTGATAACAAATAATTTACATACAAAAGGATGGTTAATAACTAATTCTAAATTTACCCGGCAACATTAATTACCAATCTTGAATCCCAATGGATAATTGCATTGTAAATTGCATTAATTCATCTTTATCATTCTGCATCGGCATGTAAAGAAAGACACTCGTGCTTTCAAATGCAGAGACTTACTATAAGAGCCATTTTCTTGAACCTATTCATAGCAGAGAATTGCTTCAAGCGAGTTAATACAGCAGAATCAAGTGGTTTGTCAGGAGCTACACCATCAACTTGAATCCAAGGATGACCTGCAGGAAACAGATAAGTTCCCTTGCAATGATAGTCCCTTTCAAATTTGGACAATAATTATAAAAATAAGCCAAAAGTAACTTTCTTTGAATTTCTTCAAAATATAAAAACGTCACAATCTAAAATAAATAAACAATGAATAATTTTAGAGAAGTCCATAATGTCAAAATGTAAATACCGCATACACACAGTATAAAATCAACAGACAGGGGAAATTAGTATTTGCATCATTTGGTGCCAAAAATCATAAGGACATGCTTCTATCAATGTATGTGCATGCATAAATCTTTTCTTTTATGAAAGAATGTTGTCAAGAGTATTTTGTGTTATATAACATTATAAACTGATAGACTGCATGGTTAATCATAGAAAAAAAATATAGTTACATTCAGCTTCCAACAGATGAATAAAACATATTCCAGTCATAAATTGGAGATTCAGCAACAAGATATGATCAAATGAGAGTTGGGACATGTGGCGGGTATATTGATTGAAAGGACAGGTAAAGGCTGGACATTAAAAATGAATCTAGACATTAAGAACTTCTACGTCAAAAAGTTTTCCCATATCAAATATATCTGTAATATACCAAGAGCCCAAAAAGACAAATGTTTGAGAAACAAACCACAAACATTTTCTAACCAAAAGCGTCATAGCTTTTATATCTAGAAAGGTAATGTTCATTATTTATTTAGACCATTGAAGAGAGAACTGAGCACATGTAGATTGGTCTGCTACAATGACTCACTGACACCAAATTTTCACCAGAACGCTGCAGCAAAGCACATAATTAAATTAGACATCAACTTTTCAATTAACTATGGTCCAAGGAATGCCAAGATCATGATTAAGTAATCCTTTAGCAGCTACTATGATAATCAAACTATATTTACATAAAACTTCATGTGCAGTCAGGCGCCTTCTAGGATCACGAACAAGCATTTTCCTAACTAAATCTTTGGCACTTTCAGAAATGCTAGGCCAGGGATCAGATGAAAAGTCAAGATCACCATGCAGAACCTCTTTAAATATTCCTTCCTCACTTTCTGCATAAACATGATGAGGATTCAGATATAGGAGAGTAAATTAGAATAAGAAAAATACAGTAATAGATAAGTAGTAATAGATAAGTTCCCAAGATTATAGGCCAAAATGACAGTCCACACTCCACACAAATCCAAAATAGCTCACCAGCCCAAAATGGAGGTACTCCACTCAAAAGAATGTAGAGGATTACCCCAGCACTCCAAACATCTGCTTCTGGGCCATAACGCTTTCGCAAAACCTCTGGGGCAACATAATATGGGCTGCCAACCACATCAGTGAATACATCACCTGAAAGAGAATGGCCATTACTTTCTCTCTGTTGTCTCAATTATTGCTTCAAGCTTTATGAAGCTTCTTCACCCCAGAAAGGAAAAAGCGGGGGAGGAGCTTAATGAAACTTCAAATTAGAAAGCATAGCTTTATAAAACCATGAAGGTAATCCTTGTGCTACCAAAAAATTAATAGTACGAAAACCAATTGTTTGTCATCAAATTTTGGTTCCTACATATCATACATCATGTGACTATGATTGATTTAAATCCTGACAGTTCAGAAACTAGCCAGCTCTAGTTGATTTAGATTATTTTTTATATAAAAATTGCTTAAGCAATAAAGCTGTTCAATCCTTCTCTTCACTATTTCTAAAATTCATCAATCTACAGAAAATTAGCTGAAGCAAAAAACTAACAACCACAGTTGTCAGCCAAGTACATAAAGCTGAAAATAGCCAGTGAGATTATATTCCTACAAAAAGTTAAAATAAACATGAAATTCAGCATAATTGAAGCCACCTACGTGGTCATGATATCTCAATTCAAAACGCAATTACAGAAAAACAAAGTGATAGTGGAAGGAAGATTGATTCCCCTTCTCCCACCCTGTTTCTGTTTTTGTCTCTGTGTACGCAAGGCACGCATGTATTTTTGCATGAATGTATTTGTATTTATGCAAAGTTGATTTCAAATAGTATTGATTTGTATGGACATCAGAAAATACCTGGCTTAAAAAATATAGATAATCCGAAGTCTATGGTTTTGAGAGGAGAATCCTCCTGCTGATTGACAAAGAGAAAGTTCTCAGGTTTAAGATCTCTGTGTATTACACCAAGAGAATGGCAAGTTTCCACAACCCCAACTATAGTCCTGATTAGGTTGGCTGCCTTTCTTTCTGTATAATGTCCACGCTGAATAATCCTGTCAAAAAGCTCACCACCTGAACATAACTCCATGACAACTTGAACGGCTACTGCATCTTCATAAGCACCTTTGATGGATATAACATTAGGATGCCCAGCCAAGTGATGCATAATCTGAATTTCTCTTCTCACATCCTCAACATCCTCGTCAGTTACCATCTTCCTTTTTGCCATAGATTTACAGGCATATTCTTTACCCGTTTCCTTCTCCACACATAAAAATGTTGTCCCAAACTGACCCTGTCCCAGTTTTCTCCCCAGAATATAAAACTCCTTGAAATTACCAGTGTTTGTTTGTAGTACAGAATTGACACGGAGCCCTGCACTAGACACCCTTTTTATCGAAGCAGGTTTCTTGTGTTTAGATTTCTGGTCTTGGTCTGGTTTGGGTTCTGGCTTCTCTACTGGTTTCACTTCCGGTTTTGGCATAGTTATTTGCTCAGGAGGTTTGAATTGGACAGGCATGGACGATGATTCAGGTCCTCTAGCTGTTTCCTCATTTGCAGTTCCTCTATTAGAAACTGATTCGTCATCGAGAGCACGAGATTTCCATATTACCGCAGAAACTGATTGGAATATACCATTTTTTGAAATGCTCGGTCCAACACAAGTGTTCCCCATAAAGAGTCACACCTGGTTTAAACTCTCCCCCAACTTTAACGATTCGGATCTAAGCCCACTTCATCAGCTAACACAAGATATAAGAATTGGATTTGATATTTGAATCCTTAATAATGTGTATGTAAGTCAACCTGCATGTATTTTCCTAAATTTTAGTCTCAGCAGCAAATCAAAAAGATTTAATATTATCCGACAAAACAGCCGTAAGAATATCATCATAGAGATTAACATCGCGTTAATGGTGATGAAATCCCCAACAAGCAATGAACTCCCAAGTATAGAGAGAACAAAATTCTAAATTAATTGAACTTCAAAACTAGCAATTTATCAGAGGGAAGGGTAGATTGGTTGAAAGAGCAAAACCAAGGTCCAAACCTCAGGAAAAAGAATCAAGGAAAAAGATCATAATCAAAATTAACAGATTCAAAGAAAATATGAAGCTACACAGGAAAGTAAGAAGTCAAAAATGTATCAAAAGGAAGTAAAAGGGAGAGGAACAGGTCAATGGGAAGAGGAAGAAACTAAGCTTACCAAGAGATGGAGACGAAGAAGGGAATGGTGATTTGGTTTGTGGGAACAAGTTGAGACTTGAGACTTCGTTTGTATCAACTGATTAATTACAATTACAATTACATCTTTTATTATATATATATATATATATATATATATATATTCAGATTTCAGAGACAAGGAGACAATTATTTATCTTCAAAGAGAAAATGAAGGAAACGCGTTTCGATTGGATACTGCAATCCCGGGTTGGCGGCATGATCGTGTTGCCGAGGTTTAAGGCCCGTGGGAAGGATGTAAGAACCCGCCTTCCCAACTCCCAAGGAAGACCGGAATTTTGGTTTAGCGTATTTGTTTGGAAAAACAAAGGGTTAATGATTTTTTTTTTTTGAAAAAATGATAATAAAATTTTTTTAAATTATATAAATGATAATTTCATTTCTTAAAATGTTATAATTTTAATAAAAAAATTTAGAATTTTTTTAATAAATTTTAAATTAAAAATATTATTTTACATTCATTGATAATTTGTAATTTTTTATTTAATTTTTATAATTCTTTGAATGAAAATTATAATTCATTAAATAAAAATTGTAAATGAGGTTCATTATTTTGAGAATTTTTTTTAATAATACAAATTATATTTGATAAGTTATAATTTCTTATTCAATTTTTATGATTCATAGAACAAAAATTATTATTTCTTAAAGTAAAAGTTGTGATTGAAGTTTATTTTTTAATTACAAAAACTACAATTGATAAATTTTAATTTCTTATTCAATTTTTATAATTTATAAAACAAAAATTGTTATTAAGGTTTATTATTTTTAATAAAGGTAAAATTATTTTTTCACTAAAAAAATTATTGACAAAAAAGTTTTTGGGGACCTTATTGAAATTATGATATTTTGAAGATTAAATTGTTATTTATATAATTCAAAAAAATTTTATTATCATTTTTTTCCTTCAAACTATTTGCTCAAGTTTGTAGGTGTTTTAAATTTTAATTTTGAATCAACATACTCTGACCATTTAAAAGTATATCTATTTTCACTTTACTGTTAACACACTAATTAATTAATTTTTTTAAATGTACACGTCACCTCAAGCTACATTCAAGTGAATATCCAGTTATAAATTAATAAAGTTTGCCTTCAAAGTATTTATTTAAAAACATCTGATATCCTAAACTCCATTTTATGTCATTCTCCCATTAAAGTATAGGAATACCTATGCATTTTGCATACAAAGAAGATAATTCATAATATCCTTTTTATTTGGTATGACTATCAATAAAAGTCATGATCAATCTTTGTCTCATGTTGATTTATATCTTTCACAGCTTGTATTTACACATGATAAATTATATATAGCTTCATCAAAAGTTGTGAGTATGAATGAGTTGAAAAAACTATTGCCTAATAGTAATGAGAAAAGAATGTGTACTCTTACAGTTGCAATATATAAACAAGTTTTTTTAAACGTATCATTTTGATGATACAACTACCTATACAATAACTTTAATTTTTTTTTATAAAAGAGCAATTATGTTAACAAATAAAACAAAAATTCAAATTCAAAGGTTCAAATTGAAAGGTTTAAAATTTCACAGTAAAAGCAAAAATAGAAGAAGATAGTTTGTGATTGGTACAACTATAACTACACTTTTTAAAAGATACATGAGTAAACTGTTGGAGCATCTGCTTTATGTCTTAGTGAATAATACCTTGACCCGAAGAAAGAAATAAGTTTCTTTTCTTGAGTTTTAGCATCAAGTTACCAATCTGGATAGACAAATCCTAATGATTTTGCTAGAAGCTATAAATCAAAGGGAGTGCACTTTGAAAACAGGCTGCTCTAAAGATGTCAAATGCTATTAAATCAAATTCATAAAAGATGGAATGGTGAAATTATGTGCCATTGAAGAAAATGTTCACTAAACAATAACTTTAATATGTATGGCTTGGTTATTCTAATGATTGCATTTTCATGCTTCCATGAGAACAATTTTAATATTTTTATCTCTATTATCAAGATATTTGGTTTATGGCTTTTTTTTTTCTCAACCAACCTTTGTTGATGTTGAGGAATCTTTTGCTTCTCTTCTGTGGAACCAGCAAAACATGATTAGGAGCTCATGAGAATATTAATGAAAATTATAAACTATATTTTCTAGGGTCCCAATAATATTTTTTTTTACTTGCAATAAATTATCTTTTATTAATTAACTTGAGATTCATAATAGACTATAGTAACACAAACACTTAACTTGCAATTCACGACTGCTTTTAATAAGTTTCTAATTGACATTATAAATAATTTTAAATATATTTAGTAGATTTTTTAAGAAATTTATCTATATATTGATAGCAAAACCAATAATAAATGATGTGCTTGTTATTCACAATTGATAAACTAACTCTTATAAATTCTCAACTAATATTATAAATAATCTCAAATATAATTACTTGATTTTTCAAATGGTTTATCTGTATATTGATAGCAAAAAATTAAAATTTATAACTGACTTTTGTAAATTTACAATTGATGTTATAAATAATTTCAAATGTATTTAGTAGACTTTCTAACTAACTATTTACATTCACATTTTTTTTTAATTACAAGTAAGGATCATGATCTATTATTAGAATTTCAATAATTCAAGATTTATAATTATCATTAATATTCTTATTAAGATTTTAATTATCATTTTCTCTAATTACTATGTGAGTCAACAATTATGATTTACTTGGACTATCATTCAAATAAATTTGTGTGCCACTATGGTTAAATAATAAATTTGTGTGCCACTATGGTTTATGTTATCAGATGTAAAGCTGATAATTTAGGTAACCCAATTAAGCTGAAAAATCTCAGAATCAAGCTTGAGAGTTTATAAATTTTTATTTACTTTGGGTTACATTATCTACCCGAATAAGTTCAAAAAAATCCGAGCCAAACTCAAACCCGAATAAATTTAGCCTACTAATTCTTTTTATCATTAATAAAATTAAAATTAAAATAAGATAAAAAAATAACCATCTTAATTTTTAAGATAAAAATTAAAATTAACTAAAAATAAATAATATTTAACCATTGCGAGCCCCAATAAGCCTGACTAGTTAGGTATTATAAGCCCAACCCAATAGCCTGACCAAATATATATATATATATATATATATAATCAGGATCTCAAAGCACATATGTTAGCATATTATGAAGTTATATTAGCTCCATGTTTTTCTCCTGTGATGACAAGTATATGCAGGTTGAATAATTTCTCAATAATAATTTATTATTCATTGTTTAAAAATATAATGCATACATTTAATATGTGAGGAAATAGTGAATTAATTTCATTGTTTGATTCTTTAATTTATGAATAGTATAATCATAGGATAAATTTGTGAGGAAATTGAATTCTTGAATTCATTTTATTTTGATTAATAATTTTATGATTTAATATCAACTAATAAAACAATCATAAATTAGTTTTAGATATAAATTAATTTTCCTGATAGTCAACTTTGAAGTACTATGTCTCCTCAATTTCTTTCATAATTTGTTGATTTTGACCATTTTATGCTATATTAGCTTAATATATTTAAGTTTATTTTCTTGATTTTATATAAAATCTATGTATATATAATTTAAAATTCAAACTCAATTTAAAATTTAATTATTGAGCAACTAATTCAAATATATATACATAGATTTTAATAGAATATCACGATTGCCAATGTATGCATAGCAATTTTCTTACATGTATATTAGGTAGATACTGTACGTTTTCCTTTTCATGAACAAAAGTGTCATTATCATCGTGAAATTTCACACAACCTTGATTAGATGAGGCATGCACCTAATATTGTAGAAGTCACGCCAACTACAAAGCCATGCCATGTCAATGTTAAATAACTGCAGGCACCTTGACTAAATAAACTTGACTAACCACTGGTACGCACCTAGACTAAATAATTGTTCATGATATTTTGTTTTGTTATTCCCCTTTTTGGTTATATTCTCCATGGGTGAAGTTCAATCTTAAAAGCCTCAACAATATGGTAGCTTAGAATTTAGATAAAGATGTTTATCCTCTCTACAATTTAGAATATTAATAAATGTTCACCCAAATTCTAAATAAATATGTACATATGGGTATATTCACCTTGACTAAAAAAAATTACTGTATATAGTCCGTGCATTGCACAGGTACTATATGACAACGGCTAGGTATTTATTTAATTTTTTTACATACTATTTATATGGACATGTAGATGACTAGCAAAACAACTTAACACAATTCACGTGATTCACTTATAAAATAATATATATTTTTCAATTTTATTATTTATAAACATTACGAAGTGGATTCCAATTCATTAGTTTGCGGAATTTTATTCACGATCATGTAATTTCATCTTTTTTAAAATTTTTCAATATTCTCTATATAATATATATATATATATATATATATAAAAGATAGGCCAAAGATGAGTTTTTTAATATTACTTGTAAGAACTCCTTTATTGTGTTAAGCTGATTAATTTTTTTTATCAATATAGGTTTTATTATTTAATATTTAGGTTCAATGATATGAATCTGTCTCAACAACCAACGAGCATAGTGGGCATACCACCACCATCATACAATGATGATATTATTGGTGTTCAGGCTCGCAAGCTTGTAAATGAGCTACACTGCCCAGTGGTATGACTATTCTATATTTAATATTGAATGTTGTTTATAATCTATATACAGAACACATGCATGAACACCATAGGGCACGATTTGTTTGACTGTCGTTACTGGAATGAAATTTGAAACTGAGCGTGGATAGCATTACAACTCTTGTAAAAAGTGCATGAAAAAAGTTGTGCCCAACAGTGCTTTTTTTTTTTTTTTGGGTGAGAAGTGTGAGGCAATTGTGAAGAGTGTTGTTCCAGGGTACATAAACCTATTTACTTTGTCGTTACCTTGAATAATTAAATGCACGTGTTTACTTATTATTTGTACTTATTATACGTAAGTTTACTTTCTAATTAGTAAGCATTTGGTTTACCACTGTAGGCAGAAGGTGGAGTTTAAGGTTATTGATGAAACTAGCTCAACAAACTTCATTGTATTTGATTGTGAATTCGCTAGGGTGTTGCAATGTACTATACTTGAGCTAAGGGATGTAGCTTATTAGGTATAAGTATTGTTATATGATCATTTACATTTTTAGCACATGATTTTTTT